CACAACCAGCACTATCACTACACCATTATCAGTTATCACCACATCTATACTTAACAACCGGACTGCTTTCAACACATCAATGCTTGTTAGCTAACTTGCCTCCAGAGCCACTATCATAGAATCTTGAGAGGGAGGGAGAGGGGGTAGGCAAGAGAGAGAGAGAGAGAGAGAGAGAGAGAGAGAGAGAGAGAGAACCTAAAACAGAGGATTTTAGAGTGAGATTTCCTGGGCTCAAATAATGAAATTGATAGTAATTAGGTAACAATCCTAAACAACTTATTTACTCTGTTCTTCATTTTTCTGATTTGCAATAAAAATAATAAACTCATAAAATTTTACAGGAATAAAATGATTTATTATGATTAAAGTGCTAAGAACAATTGCTTGCACACACTAAATATTTATTGTAATTGTATGATTTCAAGGCACTAATCTACATTGTTTATTAATAATAGTCCACTCTTAGCATGACAAATATTATGCACTATTTTCTACATTTTCTCCTACAATTTTTCCTTTTTCCTTTTCTCATGCTGCAATTTCTGTAGGAATCCATATTGTAGAACAGTGCTAGTAATAATGTGACCATGACAAATGTCATGGAAGAACATCCTGCATGGGACACTGTCTCCTGTTCAACGCAGCAGAGATCAGCTGAGCAAGAGGCATTGACCTCCCCCCAGGGTCTTCTTGATGGCATTCTTGACTTCTTGGTTCCTTAGACAGTAGATGAAAGGATTTAGCATGGGTGTGAGGACTGCATACACAGCTGAGATTAGTTTGTTGGAATTAAATGATGCAATAGCTCTGGGTCGGACATACATGAAAATCATGGCTGTGTAATAAATTATGACTACAGTGAGGTGGGATGCACAGGTGGAGAAGGCTTTCTTCCTTCCCTGAGTGGAGGGTATACGCAAAATGGTGGACACTATGTAGATATAGGAGAGGACAGTGGTGATGAGAGGAAAAACAAGAATGACAATTGCCAAAGCAAAGTCCACCAACTCAGCTGTGGACATGTCTTTGCATGCCAGTTTGAGGATTGGTGAGATATCACAGAAGAAGTGGTTCATGACATTAGAGCCACAGAATGCAACATGTGAAATAAAATAAACTTTGATGACAGAGACTGTAAAACCACTTATATAGGAGAGGGCCATCAGCTGCACACAATAACCTGTGGTCATGATGGCTGGATATCGAAGAGGGTGGCAGATGGCCACATAGCGGTCATAGGCCATGGCTGCTAAAAGCACACACTCTGTGCAGGCTAGAGAGATAAAGAAATAGAGCTGGGTCATGCAACCTGTGAAGGAGATGCGCCGTCTCTGCAGGAGGAATCCATCCAGCATCTTGGGGACTGTGACAGAGACATACCAGACCTCCAGGAATGACATGCTACTCAGGAAATAGTACATGGGCTTATGGAGGGAGACTGTGTCCCAAACAGTGAACATGATAACAAGATTCTCTGCTACCACCAACAAGTAGACCATGAGGAAGAGGAAGAAGAGCAGGAGCTGCATCCATGGGGCAGTGGGGAAGCCCACCAGGATGAACTCACTGACCAGAGTGATGTTCATCTGCTGCATGACTGACAGCACTTGGAGGTACTGAAGTCTTCTATGGTAACACCACAAAAATGAAGATGTCTATCGCATCAGACCAAATAGCAAAATAAGTCAGCAAATCTGTTTTTCTGCAAATGAAACTCATAAAAAAATTTCTGTTAAAGGTACTCTTCTTCAAATGTGATGCAAATGTTTTTTGGTTTTAACAAAAGCTTCCCTGAATTAAAACACTCTTTCTTGGGCTGGGGATGTGGCTCAAGCGGTAGCGCGCTCGCCTGGCATGAGAGCAGCCCTGGTTCGATCCTCAGCACCACATACAAAAAAAGATGTTGTGTCCACCAAAAACTAAAATAATAATAATAATAATAATAATAATAATAAATATTAAGTTCATAAAAAAACTGTTTAAAAAAAAAACGCTTCCAAACCAATTATTGACAGTGATTGCAACTTACCTATTGACAATAATTGGAATGTCAACATTCATGTCATTCTTCGTTCTTTTATTAATGAAGATAGACCCATTTGTTTCTTCCATGTTGACTTCATTTCTATGTTTAATTAAAAACTTACCAAATATTTATTTCCACCTGAAATAAAACATGGAGGTAAGCATTGGGTCAGAAAATGTTCCAAAAGTTTAATATTTCTGGGATCCCTCCACTTTAGTTTTTTGATCCAGCACAATTTCTTCAAATTAGAGTCTAAAGAAATTTTTAAATGACAATAGCTATTGGAAAATTTCATGTTTACAAAAACCAGGTCAAGTGCCCCAGCAGCAATTGCTTTCCAAGCACATTCCCTTCCTGCATGGAAATTTTTCCCTACTATACTCAATCTTATACACACTCCTTCATGACTGTGGCCCAATTGCTAGAACATTGATTGGAAAATACATGAATATTAATTGAATATGGATTAGCAAGTAAATTAATGAATCCCTTGCAACTTTGATATCCACAGGGAATCATCCAAAGGCAGATGAGAGAGATCACTGGATCTCTACTGGCAAGACTGTATCTATCAGGCATCTTTGACAAATCTAGAGCTTGCACTTCCAGGATACTTTGATAGATCTGAGCCCTGGTCTCCAACTAACTTGGTAGGTCCTCTTTCTAAAGACCCAGCATTGTCTCAGGCTGAGATCCAAAGAGATGAGGAGGGGCTGGAGAGCACATGAGTACAGCACAAGGACAGATGGATATTGTAAAGCTGGAAGGTCATCATGTTTTTTGAGCTAGCTCAAATATCTTATCAATTCATTTTATTAAAGACCTCCTTAAAGCCTGGCTTTAAAACATTGCTTACAATTTTTGCCAAACTCCTGTCCATGATGTGTTGTTCTCTTTGCACAGAGAATGTGGTAGGCCATTCAGAGTTCACTCTGATATGCCCCCAGGTACAGATTTTCTGGCCATAGTTCTTGGCAAGAGGCTGAAGGATGAAGTACTGAAATATATATTATTGGTGCCACTATCTGCTTTCCATAGTTGCATGCATTAGTATGGCTCAGCACTGTTCTCTGGGTAGAAGATTACCCCTTAATCTCAACCTCCAATCTACACTTTCACCTCTGAGGAAATTGACTAATAAGGAGCTCTTGGCCTAGTTCTTTAATCACTAGCCAAATGCTTTTGATGGAAAAAAGAAACTTGTGTGGTATCAGAAAATAACTAGTTTTTCCTATGACCTAGCCCCATTAGGAGTCATCACCAATACAGAAACTGCTACTCATTAGATCACATGTTAACAATGCATGACTCCCTCCTCAGCCACACAATTAACCTTATACTCACCTCTGCACAGAAGAGCACTGACCTTAGAGTCAGAACAAGGTTTCAGGTGTTATTTCCATCACCTAGTTGTTGTATCATAGTGAGCAGATTACTTAAGGAAAGGTACTTCCATCCTAGAAAATGGGAACAATTACAATTGGACTCTCTTGTGAGAAGGAATATGATGATGCATTGAGATCATTTAACATAGGACTTAATTCATTGTTATTCTCTATAAGTATTAGCTGCTATGTTATGCTACACTTATACAGTTTACTCGATTGTATGTTTTCATTCCTGTGTACCCATACTCTTTTTGCACTTTTCCTGTTATATTCTGGGTGGCAAAATGACTCAAATTTGTTAGAGAGTAGGATTATAGCATCTGTAAATTTCCAAGTTGCAGATCTTTCATGCCTTATTCCTAATTCACTCTAATGAAATATTTTTATTATTCAAGCACCCTCATTTCCTTCAACAAATATACCTCTAATATTCGCTAGTTTAGAGCATGTAGAAATGCAAAATCATCTCTTTCTACTTTCCTTGTTGTAGAAGCAAAAGCACTAAGTTCTGGGCTCTCTATGGCAACCTAGAAAAAAAAATTTTCTTTATGATCTAGGACTTCTTTGTTTGCAGTCCTTAATGCGCTATCCTAAAGGATCAAAACACTGATGTCTTCTGGAACAAGAAACATATCCTTCATGCCCCTAACACCCAACAGATTCAGATCTTCCCAAATCTCCCAATTTTGAGTATGGATGTACTGGATCTTCATTTCCCATATTATTTCCCCAAATACCCTTTCTGAAGTTCAAGAATGGTACCTGCATCCATCTCCCCAAGTTCTTTCTCATCATATTTGGGGATATCTTCAGGGATCAGCCAATCTTTGTTGGTATCTCCATGCACTCAATAGGTCTATCTGTCCTTACTCTGAGAATGGAAAATTCTTCAGACATTTATACTGATCATGGGAAAGAAAACTGGTCTGCAGATTATCATACTCCCTAGGAAAATCATGACGCATCCTTGCCTAGACTGCATGGTAGGTATTGCAGCTACAAAGCAAGAAAACAGGAGCAGGGACAAGATAATATATTCACCACTTGCCTACCCTGCCTTTTTTTTCTCCATGTGTTTTCCCCAGGGCCAACTTGTGCTCAGCCTGTCTTGACTCTAGGGAAACTTGATGTGTATTGTCAAGACTATGTCTAGGGGACCTGGGAAGCTGAATCTCTGGCTACCTATCAATTTCTGTTAAATAATGGATCCTGTTTATTTATACCTCTGAATATGGTGTGGTCCTTTCACTTATCAAAATATGCAAGCTGGTATTATATCAAATTACTCAGAAGCCAGAGTAAGAAACCAAAGTGGATTTAAGATAACAGACTTATTTTTTAATACTTATTTTTTATACTTTATATAAAATATGCTTTCTACTGTTGTCTCCCTGTGTACAAACTGCTGTGCTATATGATCCTGGAATAAAATATATAGGTCTTGAGCTCGCCCTAAAATAAAAAGTAAACCATACATTTAGGTGACATGATCCATAAGACATATATGAACAAAATGCTCTAAGAACTCCAAGGAGAAAAAAATCCTTTATAACTGAAGAATATAGAAAATATTTCTTGAGAGGAGCAGGAACCAGAGCCCGGGCTGAGTCCCAAAAAAGCCGGATCCGGACCGTGGCTCCAAAACGGTTGGAAGTGGAAGATGGAGGAGCCAGAGGAGCCGGCAGATGGTGGGCAGTCGCTACCTCCAGTTTACATCTACAGTCCGGAGTATGTCAGCTTGTGTGACTCCCTGGCCAAGGTCCCCAAACGGGCCAGTATGGTACATTCTCTGATTGAAGCATATGCACTGCATAAGCAAATGAGGATAGTGAAACCCAAAGTGGCCTCCATGGAGGAGATGGCTACATTCCACACTGATGCCTATCTGCAGCATCTCCAGAAAGTGAGCCAAGAAGGAGATGAGGATCATCCGGACTCCATAGAATATGGGCTAGGTTATGACTGTCCAGCCACTGAAGGGATATTTGACTATGCATCAGCTGTAGGAGGGGCTACAATGACAGCTGCCCAGT